CTCCTGTAAATCTGTGCAATATCATGAACATCGTTTTCACTTGAGAGTCCACACCTCTCCCTCAGTCCTAAGCAGAACTGTCCCCTCATTTCCACTTGGAAATAATGTGAAGATGAAGTGAAACCATACCTTATTTTTTTGTGGTAGTCTTCACAGCGGCTAATCTGCAATGCGACCAAATTCGCAGCAACAAGCACGTGCCGCGTGCATCTTTTAGTTTACGCTGCACTGAGTTTAGCATCTGGGTTCCGGGTTCCGAGTAGTTATATTGTTTAGTTTTAATTTTTGACATAAAGGATAGATTTGAAATTCCATGATCGCTTGATTTGTTACCGTGACTTTTGGCCCCTCGGTATAATGTGGGCTCCATTGTGCATTAATGAGGTGTTTTTTCTCCTGACCGAAGTCAAGCAGTCAGCAGAGGCTTATTTCTACTTTAGCAGATCACTCTCGGAATAAGAGGTGAAGACGAACTGAATCAGGGCTCAATGGACGGCCTACTGAGCGCTAGGTTTCGTGGGAAGGCTCCATTCTGTTCCTTCACCCACTTCGTCATGGACCCATCAAGGGATATTTCAGTTTTTCTTCACCAAGAGCTTGCTACGCCCTTGTTCCACTGTCCCTCTCTTGCTACCGTACTCCCGAGTGGGTAAAGTTAGTCTTTAAATAAAGTCGGAATTGTATTATGTGTAACGCACTCTAGAAGCAGCTGGAGTGGCTATGCAAAAAGTGAGCTTATAACCTGTCACCAAGAGTCGTTCTGACGTGAAATTTATATTTCTTCCTCCTGGCTACTGGCTAAACTCAGCAAACCATGTGACTTCCAGGGCCCATGAAGACTGCATGAGCCCTGTGAGTCTAGGTCCTGCGAGGAATGATTCAAAAGTCCTCCACTGTTACTATAGCCGCCGTACTGTTCGTTCCTAATGGATCTAGTAACAAATGGTGCACAAGTCCGGGTTTTCGTAGAGCACCTAGCTCCTTGCACAAGATACTGCATTCTGGACCTTTGGTGCTTCAAGTGTGATTTTGTTTTGCGAGAAAAGCTGTTTGGAAAGCATAAAAAGGATTGTGTAGGAGTGGGATGTTGTTCACCCTTGCACACTCTCGAAATAGAGCGGAGGGGAGTGGGAGGAGGGAGGAGAAAATAGATCTCAAGGGTCTGGGTAATTGAAGACTGATTATCGTCGAGTTTATGGGAACAGTGAAATAGTGAAGTGGTTTCCAAACATTGGGAATCAGTGCTCTGGCTTCTCTGGTCTCACCGTCTATCCCACTGTAGTCGGCATTTCCCAACTTGTGGAGTTTGTGGTTTTCTAGTTTCCCCTGAATTGAGTATGAACGAGGACACTGCAGGACACCATTCATAAAGATTCCGCGATGAGGCCACTGAAAAAGGTCGTGGGTAGGGGGGGAGGTTTATAATAGAAACAAAGGTATGTGCTAGTTGACCTGCTTGTGGAGAAAGCAGGAAAGGGAAACCGTCGAAAACGCTCTAAATAAGACCAAACTTGTCTCAAGCGGGAGACAAGGAATCGATGTGGATATCGCGCGAAAGGCCAGACAAAGCAGCGAGAGAGCATGAAAACGGGCTAGACAGTAGATAAGGCATCATGTGGGCGGAGTCAGTTAAGCAACCTTGTGCCTTACCCCGTTAGCTTACTTTTAACGTGGAACTCATACAGGATTGCTTCTCCGCACTGCCTATCTCTTTGAAGAGATCGGGTAATTTTGAAGGATCGTGAGCAATGCCTTTGAGTTCTCTAGCGCCGCATATGTACTGCAGGGGCGTATTTTGACTCGACAAAAAAATTTCATTAGATAACATTCCATCTATAAGGCCAGTTATGGTGCCCACCCGACGACTGCGCTGTATCAAACTGAAATGTTTATTTTGCAAGGTGAATGCATAGGCAGAATTCCGCTGAATAAATTACACGTGGAATCGATAGCGGAAATGCTGTGAAAAACACATTATGGACGGCGACAAAGGTTGCCTTGAGTGCATCGCTAATATGGGGAGCAGGCAGATCTTTTTATTGTTGATTATTGGTTTTTCAGGTTGTGCGACATGGACTCCCAGATGATGCACGATGTCTCGCTTATGATCCTGTACAACGCTTATTAGCCATAGGAACTGGACATGGAGCTGTTAGAGTCATAGGTAGGCAGCCGGTGGTGAATTCATTCATGAGGGTTGTTTTCCCCAAGAGCGTTGTTGATTTTGCTACTGTAAGTGACAGGAATATGAGGCTGTGGTGCTGATATTGCGCAGGTGCGCGATCCTGTATGCGTCCTAGAAGGTAGATGACGTGTCATTGACGTCACTCAATACAGCATGACGTTTTATGATGTGCCTTCGAAAACACTGGCATTGATGCTGTACAGGTTTCCTCGTCATTGGCATATTATGGGACGCGTCACTTCATCAATGTGCTTGATGACATGTTAGACGACAAGTCATCGTCTAGCTGTTGGGCTGCGTTCAGGCTGCGTTCATACTTTGCGGCAGCGTCCATCTTTTGAGCGAATGCCGTCTCCAGCGACTGGAAAAGTGTAGTTATCGATCTAGCGGCTACCAGCGTCCACTAGCGCACGTCATCGTCTTGAGGGACTAGGGAATTATAGGTATCGATTTGCGTCCACATCCGTTCAGCGGGGAGCGCGTTTTCACGGGCCGTTGTACTGGAGTTAAAAAGTGCTAGAGGGGACGCTGCTATACGCAGGTGGACGCTGGTGGATGCCGGCGTTTGCAGATCGACACCTATACTGCCCTAGTCCCTCGAGACATTGGCGTTTGCTAAATCGATATCTATGTTTTCCTAGTCGCTGTCGCTGGCCTTCGCTTGAAACGCTGCCGTACGCTGATGAACACGCCGCAAAGTATGAACGCAGCCTTCAGACATCGCCATGACGCGCATCAACGCGCGGCCAAGAGACCTAATTGTGAATAGCTCTATTCACAGAATGTAGCACTAATTCAGGCCAAATCACGCATGAGACGCCGTGCGCTTTTCAAGGGTTCTCTGACTAGCTCTTGTTGGTTAATGTCATTCTTCTTTGACAAGCTGCTTTCTGCATAGGATTTAGCCCAGAAGTAAAAAGAAGAACGTAGAACCATGCACCATCTCGCCAGCAAGGATCCGCCAACTTGCTAAAGTGCGTGTTAGAGTTTCCAGTGATGCGCTTATACACATGGTGCGCGCTTAAATAGTTCTGGTCTTTTACGAAGTAGTCATGTGGAAGAAAAAACTCAGCTCGCCATTGGAAGCTAAATGACATGATACGGCGAAAAGGTCCATAGCATGACTGCCATTTTTACTTTTCTAGCTTTGATTTTGCCAATAATTGTGTCACATACATGCAATGTTCTTTTTTGCCTTTTCGAGAACAGCGACCTGATTATTTCAGGTGACGTCTAGGCATAGATCTTATGTTAAAACACTTGAAAACGGACCATGCCCTGTCAATGCAATGTTCCAGTCCTTATGCAATGAGGTAATTTCACCTTTGGACAGCCACCACTGGTTCACCTTTGGCCTGCATTTAACGATGGAAGTTCTAGGTGGTAATGAATCACTGCTTGCTTCGAATGACATCCGTTCATTGCTGGAACTGACCGTCAGAAATCGCCAGAAGTCGTTTTCTGCTCAATGTTCCTCTCCCCCGGCTTACGCTAGCGCTCAATTTTTCGAATGTACTTAAATGGTCTCTGTTTCAGATTGTACGAAGCGTTCAATTAAACAAGGAATCCGTATCTTGTATTCATCTCCCTATGGGTAGTAAGGTGCACGGGAACGGACAAGTCTAGCGATTTATTTTTATAGCTGCTCCATTTTTTGTCGAAAGTAGACTTAAAGATCCATTCCGCGCGTGTAGCGCGGCCGCAGCGGTCTCTTTTCGGATTACGATGAACAGGCTAACCAGAATGCTTGCACCTGCCACTCCAAAGTGTAACACGCCATAGTGTTTAGGTACGGTAGGCGTGGCTACATGTTCATCTGTAACAGGCAAGCAAACGGCGCTGTCGGTCAAGTTGTTTATCGTTTGCTCGTATGAAAATAATCATGTTTTTTCCAAACACAAAAGAATGACAGATTGTCTTGAAACAGGAGATATCTTCGGCATCCTTACAAGCGCTAGAAAAGCAGCCACGCTCTCTCATCCCAGAGGATGTAACTGTAAGAAGACGCATGGGAGCTTGCCATTTGAGAGCTGGCTATTGTAACTTCGATATCAACCGCACATGCTTATGATTTTTGGACTGGCGAGCTGTATTACCCGCAGTTGTTTATCTCTCGCCCCCCCCCCTCACTCAATCCGCCCCCCACCTGATCGTCCTGCTGTATCTGGGTTAAACTAGCCGCACACTTCCACACACACACTCGTCTCCATTGTTGATTTTTTTCGTTCCTCTACTTTCATCTCGTCTGGAGAGCTAATTAACCCCTGCAAACTTATATTTGATCTCCACCATCCATGACTTGCAATCCCGGAATGTGCCTTTAGAGCTTCGACTAATTGAATAGCTAATTAATTGAATGAGTCAACTGTTTACTTGTTTAGGGTAACATATATTTTGTTTCTGTTGCAACATTTCAATTAAGCCCCTATATTATTAATTGGAATAAAGCTATTGACTTGTGAGTTCACAACTTTCTTAAACTTCCAAGCTTTTAAATAATGAGTAAGTCTGCTGCCATTGATTGCAGAAGTTGTCGAGTGCATCCTGGACCTGTCAGACAATTAGGTGTTTCTCCAGTCGAGCCTGGGAAGCTTCTTATAGCTTATGATAAAGGCGTACTTGTCCAGTGGAATCTTGTTACCAAAGAAGTTGATCGATTCCCGCTTGATCCACCCATAAAATGCTTCAGGCAAGTGTTTTTGCATTGGTTTTAGTCATCAGCTGTATCGTGTCCAGCTCTAATTGTCCTTCCAATTGAATTTTCCCTTAAAGCGTTCGCATGTGTTTCAGTTGGCACTATGAGGGAAAGTCAGTTATGACTGGAAATGTGGATGGTTCCATCTCTGTATATAATATGAAAAAGACTAGTAAGTTCTCGAACTTGTTTCATTATGATAACCGCACAAGATTATAAGTTCAGGAAAGCAGGCGGTATAAAGTACCCATTGCACGTGAAATCATATGTCTCTCCTCCGTGAACGCACACAACTAGGGATACCGTAAGCAGGGTAGGGGGAAAAGAAGCTTCGTGGTAGGCAGGGAACGAGAGAAGCTAATTCCGTTTTCCACCTGACCAGGGTCTTCCCGGACGGAGGCTGGGTGATGTTCGCTCCTACGTACTTAGTTTTACGCGCACTTTGGTGTACTTTATACCGTCTCTTTTCCTGAACTTTAATTCAGTGATAATTGTTGTTAGATGCCGAAACCGCCCTTAAAATACTGAGTTGTGGGCAAAGTCTTGACCCAGGCCGGACTTGAGCCTGCACCTCACGCTGTGCATATCATGGTGTGGACAACTCAGTCTTGCGGTACACTGCTGATAGGCTAACCTCATCACCTTAATACTTTGAGTACTGTAAGGTTATGGCACGATAAACCACCAAGCTGATAGGGCTAAATGCGGCTTTGCTGTTGTAACTGATAGAGTACTCGTACGAAAAGCGTGAAGTGCAGGTTCGAGTCCTGACTGAGGTCAAGTCTTTTGCCCGTAACCCAGCATTCTTGTGCTGACTTGGAAGTTTCATGGAAAACATCTGGAATTTATTTAGGATTTGAAATTCAATGAGACTTATTTCAGGTGAACCACAACAAAAAACTTCCCCACATGGGCAAGGTCCATGTCGACCTATCAACGCCATCGATTGGAAGTACACTGCTGACGGAGATCAGTTTGTCATCTTCTCTGGTGGTAAATTATAAAATAACATTTGGCATCAGTCCGCTAAGAGCATTTGAAAGATCTCTGGCGCAGTTCGGCAATTGGGGGGGGGTACATTTTGTACGTTCGGTGCTTCCCGTTGCTGTGTCGAGCCATCTTGTAGAGATTGGTGAAATTTGGTGAAGTCATGCACGGTCGAACTAAATAGGAACTGCTTGTCAGCTCTTGTCAAGAATACCTGTCAACTAATGTGCAGTAATAAGCACGGCAATGAAAAGCGCTGTGCAAAATGCCCTTCACTCCTCCGCCTGTAGCGCCGAACTGCGCCACACTTCTTGTGTAAACTGAGGTAGTCTAAATGGGATAATGATGAAGACAGCTTCTTCCCCCAATATAAAAGCAAGCAGCTCCGGATGGACGAGCTATTTCCATATCATATGGAAAAATGGCTCACAATGGCCACGTTTTTGTACAAGTGCTTTTTAAATGCCCCTTGCCTGCGGACTTGGTCAATTTGTTTTTTTTTCTTTGAGATTTTTTTCTACTTTCTTCTTTCAAGGTATGCCGACTGAAGATGGCTTGCCTGTCCCTGCGCTCACATTTCTTCGTGCCTCGAAATCCGCTACCGTTCTTGAAATGGAGCGTCCGATATTGTCATTCGTTACCCTACCAAATGTAAGTTCAGGACTTTTCATTCCCATTACATCAAGGAATAAGCCTTATTCTTAGGAACGATCCTTTCCTTTCTCATTGCAGATCCCTTTCCCATCGTGCCCGCAACAGCCACAAGCGTTGGCAGTTTTGTTGAAAGGAGAGTTGATGGTGCTTGATCTACTCACGCCAGGGTATGCTACTACCCAAGAAGTCAAAGTTTGAAGTTTTACAGTGTGAACAATTATTCCTTTTCAGCTACCCTAGTATTGAACCACCTCACGCATTGGATTTGCATGAAGTTCCGATCACTTGTGTCGCGTATTATTCCGATTGCGCCAGTGATCTCATCGGAGCTTTAACCCTAGTCGGTTGTAAGCAGAGAAGGAAGGGATTTAGCGAACGGGTAAGGCTTCAGTTTTATTCTCGTACTTTTATTCTCATATAAAATTGAAGGCACCGTGTACGATTACCTATAGATAGACACCCTCCCTTGCACAGGCTCACAGCCGATTAGGGAGGGTTCCTTTCGACCCAAAAAATTGTGTGGAAAGAGCACCAAAAGCTTGAGTTTTAGAATAATCTCGTCCCTACGTGTGCGGTCTCCACCCACTTCACAGTTTCGATCAACTTCGATAAAACAAGCTGAACCAGGAAACGATGAAAATACTATTAGTGGAAGTGAAGAAAAGAGCGAAATTGTATGAGAGAAGTCTTAAGAGCTAAGGTTTCAGGGTATTCTCCACCCTAGCTACGGGTCTCCGCCCACTTCTCAATCTTGATCAATTTGGATACAACAAAATCTGCTAGAAACTCATGAAAATCATAGCGATATTATGGAGGGTCATAATGTAAAAGAGCGTGTACCACTCGCACAGGGCTCAAAACTGGGTCGGCATTTTGTACAGGGCCTCTTCCTTGTTCATCTCCTTTTTTAAGGAAGGACGGGCTAGTCAGCTTCTCCACCTTCACATTTGAAAGCCACTTGCTCTCGTGTCTTTATCGTACACTGGTTTTTGAATTACATGGGATAATGTATAAAGTTTGTTTTTCTTTCAGAATAGCAAGTGAGTTTTTTTGCAGGCATGGCCAATAAGCGGTGGAATTGCAAGGGAGTGCGCTACAGGTCATCAAGAACTCATACTTACTGGGTAAGATTAACTGCTGGCGTGCTCCGTTGACCTCAATAGCCTACTTCATTCCTTTATTCCTTTCCTCTATCCCTTTGACGTGATGATTTCAGTCAT